TCACCTTGTTGTTGAATTGTGCTATACAAATAAACTTGCCTTGCCTTGCCTTAACCACTTGCTGTAGTATGAATGACTGTGGGGGGGGGGGCATTTTTTTTGCCCTTTGTCCATGGAGTGGAAAATGATGATTCTATTCATGATGCTTGATGATTTTTTTTTTATATGATGCCATACTGAGTAACTGTATTGAATTTGAGTATAATTATCCTATAATTTCTGAGGAATATTACAGCACATAAAGTAGGTGGAAGAGAGGAAGAATGTGTTCAAAGTTTCACATCAACTATCAGGATGTTTTTTAATGATATTTTAAATATAAATTGATTATATTGCATTGACTGTATTGAATTTGAGCATCACTGACCTTAAACTTGTTAGGAATTTTGCTGCGGATTGAGATGAATGAAGATTCACATTGCTAACCAAACTGAAAAGAATAATGAATAAACACTAGGAAAAACAGTTGTCCTTGAGCTTCATTTTTCCTGCAGAAAAGACATCCAAATCGTTTGTGCGTGCGTGCGTGCGTGCCTGCATGCTTGCGTGTGTGTGAGATGTCCATGCATGCATGGGTGTGCTCGTGCATTTTTTTTGTGATCAACAACAAAGAAGAAGTGCTACCGTAAAGCCTAGTGCAGAAATGTGTGGAAAATTTATGTGGCGGAAATAAATAAGGCGGCTTGCTTCATCGTGGCTCACAAATGACAACTCACTTCACTGCGGTAACATATCAAGGCTTGCTTTGCGTTAGTGGGCTGAAGAAATCCTAAAACTGCAGTGAGTTGCAAATTGTTTGGGGGTCTCTGCCTTCAGTGACTAAAAGTAGGTTGTACTGTGTTAAGAACTGACATTTGAAGGATATCCCATTTCTTTGCAATGGAAATACACTGATGTAAAGTTTCTGTATTTATAGTGATGTTTCATATACTGATAGAGATGATATTTGTTTCTTTTTTTTAAACAGAAAACACACTTTTTTGAAGAAATGTCTCGATGCATTTGGCATACCTGAACACTCTAAAACGGAAACAGATACTCAGAATAAGGAAGAAAAACCCAACTCAGACTTTTCCGTTTTAACAGTATTTACTCAGCACTGACCAAAGATTAATCCAGAAATTTGAAGTCCTGACTTCAGTTCTTAACTTGTGATTCATCTCCACATCTGAAAGTCTGCGTGCAGTATCCCAAACCTGCGACTACAGTCAGTGCATTGCTGGTACTACACAGAGGACTTTATCTTGTAAAACAACATGAAGTCTGTTCCTCAGAGATGTCCCTGCATTTAGCATTTGGTCCAAATCAAGTTATCAGCTTTGTTGCGGTGCTACAGTTCAGTTTTTGCGAGTGTGTAAGGTAAAAATGTTACTGCTCCACCCCAAAATGGGCCATGTGAGCCTGTCCCAGCCGTCATGGGGCGAGAGGCAGGGAGGTCACAAGTCTATCGCAGCAATACAAACAAGCATTTGGACTCATAAGTTAAATGCTTTGATCTTTGAGAGAGAACCTGAAGAACCCCAAGCAAAGACAGGGAGAACATGCAAACTCCACACAGCCAGATGGAGAATTTGAACTCAGAACCTTACTGTTGTGTAGCAACAGTGCTAACCACTGCACCACCAACAGCATACAAATCAAATCAAATCAAATCAAATCACTTTTATTGTCACATCACATGTGCAGGTACATTGGTACAGTACATGTGAGTGAAATTCTTGTGTGCGAGCTTCACAAGCAACAGAGTTGTGCAAAATACAATAACGTAAACAAGCAAAATACAAGAATGGCTACATCTGAAACTAATAAATATGTGTACAATATATAATAGTATATGCATTTCTGGATGTGTATACTAAATATTTTTCTACGTGTGTGTGTGTGTGTATACACATATTTTACAAATTAAATAGAGTAAACAATAAAATAAAATATATAAAAATATACAGAGTTGGGACATGTGCAAAACAGTGGCATTACTGTACAGTACGGAGTGCATAATGTTGAAGTTCCAGTAGTGAAGGTGAGGTGTCTATGACGTGTTCAGCAGTCTGATGGCCTGGTGGAAGAAGCTGTCTCTCAGTCTGCTGGTACGGGACCGGATGCTGCAGAACCTCCTTCCTGATGGAAGTAGTCTGAACAGTTTATGGCTGGGGTGACTGGAGTCCTTGATGATCCTCCCCGCTTTCCTCAGGCAGCGCTTCCTGTAGATGTCTTGGAGGGAGGGAAGCTCACCTCCAATTATCCGTTCAGAGCACCGCACTACTCGCTGGAGAGCTTTGCAGTTGTAGGCGGTGCTGTTGCCATACCAGTTGGTAATGCATCCAGTGAGGATGCTCTCAATGGCACAGTGATAGAAGGTCCTGAGGATGCGGGGGCTCATGCCGAATCTTTTCAGTCTCCTGAGAAAGAAGAGGCGCTGCTGCGCCTTCTTCACTGTTTTGTTTGTGTGTACTGACCACGTAAGATCCTCAGCCAGATGTACACCAAGGAACCGGAAGCTGCTCACTCTCTCCACAGCAGCGCCGTTGATGGTGATGGGGGTGTGTACTTCTCTGCACCTCCGGAAGTCCACTATCAACTCCTTTGTCTTTGCGACGTTGAGGGTGAGATGGTTGTCTTGACACCAGTGGGTCAGGGCGCTGACCTCCTCCCTGTAGGCCGTCTCATCACCATTGGTGATAAGACCCACCACTGTAGTGTCGTCTGCAAACTTCACAATGATGTTGGAGTTGTTAGTGGCCGTGCAGTCGTAGGTGTAGAGTGAGTATAGGAGAGGGCTCAGTACACACCCC